TGGGTAAGACCATCTTTTCCACATTCTCTTTCTCTTTTTTTTTTTTTTTTCTGTATCTGGAGTAAGGGGGAAGATAAAGGAAGAAGCCCCACCCAGCCTCCTTCCCACCCCAGGGTCCCCAACATGCTCCAAGGTGTTGCTCAAGTGGTTTTGATAGGTTAAACGTTGTGAATTGCTGCCAGTCTCACCATTCCAAGCACGATGAAGTCTCTCCAGAATCCACTGGCTGACATAGTCCACCTTAGAGTCTCTGTTTGCCCAGATTTTCTCTTTTAACACGTGGCTGAGGCATTTGATTGATTTGTTCTGTCCTCTGGAATTTTTGGAATCAGGAAATTGGGAAGATGAAATTATAATTAGGAATATTTTAATCTGTCCAAACATCATAGTTTCAAGTTAGTGGACAAATCGCTCCAATTTAAACTTCAGTGACAATTTTTCACTTGTCTTTTCAATTACTGTCCTCTTGAACTGTAATTGGACTGTGTGTTCTGAAGATTCAAGACAGTAGAACTCAAATTTCAGTAAATATATGAGCTAATTATACTCATGGCTTCTAGTCCCCTGGCTTCTCAACTAAAGCCACCTTGGAGAAAGTGGTGGCTTTATTTTTCCAAGCTACAGTCAATTCTTAATTAACCCCATGATAATTTCTCCAGGGCAGTGTATCTAGTCTCAGGAGTTCAGTAATCATAGAACAACTATCTAATAACTACGTCCTGTTGCTGGTCACCAGAATCTCTGACTTGAATGACTTACCGTGAGTCTTGATGGGTAGAAATGAATTCTCTCTATGCAGGTGAAAGGGCATTTGCCTCAAGACAGATCCCCTCTCCTCTGCTGTTATTTTCTCAGACTTTCTCCTGTGATTTAGATTCCACCTGCCAGGGCATTCCCAGAGCCTGAATAGCTGTTGTTTCCCGTTGTGGGTACTTGCTAATAAGGTCTGGATATCTATATTGCATGGATCTGTACGAGGGGCAGTACTTGAAGACATCTTTCTTCAGCAATGGCGATTTTGGTAAGTTTTAAAAGAACGAAGGAGCTACTTTTCACCACGCCACACTTACTAGGAGTGGCTGGAAATGGTGTCCACAGTCCTAGCAAAAATGGTTGCAGGTTATAGTGAGTCCTTCTAGCCTCAGCTTTAGTGGATTTTCTTTTAAATTGGATGCCTCATGAATTGAATAAGGCCTCTATTGGTCTCCACACTCTACTCATAGATGTATGTTTCCATTGTTATTCAAATACGGTAATACAACCTAACTAGGAAAAAAAAAAACAATTTGGAGAACTGGAACATTTCTATTTGTATCTAGAAAATAAACTTCTACATATTCATTATCTGAGGCTCTCTCCACATTATCTTTTACCTAACTGGCTGATATTTTTTTGTGATAGAAATATTAGAACTTCCCAAAAGTTTAAAGTAGTTAAATTCCTTAGATTTTCTTTTCCTCTTGTGAGGAATGAGTACACTCGGGTATTAAGCTGCTGTTTAAATCACATTCTATGAAATCCTATTTACAGTAAGCCAACGGAGGATACAGAATCATCATTTACTAAGGCTTGTAACATGAGTGCTTGAGTAGCTGGAGAAAAGAACTGTAGGGACCCTCTGTCTGCCTAGGGAATCTGACACCTAGTTAGACAGGTCCTAGGGGCCAGTGTATGCAACTGGCATCCCAGATTCAAATTTATTCTCTAACATCATGTTCAAGGAGTTTCTGTTTTAGTTCTATGCCTGTCCCCTTGATACCACTCCCAAATCTGATCTCCGAAAGCTAGATTTCTCACTTCTTTGCACAAAGGATCTTTCATTCAATTGTCCATGGATATTTGATTGCAAGAAAGTTTTACTTTTCTGCCTTTACCTTTTTCTGGCATAGCACTGATGACAGAATACTATGGTGGTCCCTGATGAGTAGGTGGAAACTGCCTTCTTAAAGAAACAGAGTCTCTATGTATTATCACAAAATGGTCAAATACGTGACTCATACACCAAAGTTTGGGTATCAGATTATAGTGTTCCCTGAAAAATACACTGACTGGAGTCAGTAACCAACATGGACCTTAATGACAAATTATCTAACTTAATTTTCTTTTTTTTTTTCTTTTTATTGTTGCTTACATTGTATTATGTAGTACAGTTTTATAGGCGCTGGGGATTCCCCCCACCCCTCCCATACCCCTCCCCCCATGGTGGATTCCTCCACCTTGTAATTTAATTTTCTTTGGTATTAATAGATACAGACATTCCTTCAGAACTGTAAAATTCTGGATTCTGAGTTGTATCTTTTACATCATACTCTGTCAAATGGTGTTAGATACAGATTAGTTATAATGAGATTCAGTTGAAAGTTCCTAGGGAAAGCAAGCAAGAAGGATACTGAGCAATGACAATGAAATAAAAATTTTCTAGGTGTTTTGAAATAGAATTACAGTGGTCTGGTAAGTGGTATTATTTAAGCAACTTATTCTTCTTGATATAGGAAACATGTTAACTATGCAAATACAGCTAAACAAATAATGGAACTATACCAGAGTACTTTAACAACTGCAAACAAAAATCATAATTAACATATTAAGCTAATTTTATTGCAATAAGTTCTGAAGACCATATGTAATGTTTTAGGCATGCATTTTTCATGAACTGCTTGAAGACTTCTAATTACTTATGCATTTTCAATGGTAATACAGTTTCGATATCAGTATCATTAATTGATCATCATAATAATAGAAATCAAATAATAATAAATAAAAAGTGTTAGTAATATTTTGTAGATACAGCTAATGGATTAAGTATTGGACAAATTTCCATTCAATAAAAGAGGAAAAATATTTATATTTTAAACTTATTTTATTTTTTTATTGGAAAGATAGCTATACAGAGAGAAGGACATACAGAGGGAAAGGTCTTCCAGCTTCACTTGCTAGTGACCACAACAGCTGCTGCTAAGCCAATCTGAACTTAGAAACTAGGAGCTTCTTCCAGGTCTCCCACTTGGGTGTAGGGTCCCAAGGCTTTGGGCCATCCTCTACTGCTTTCCTAGCCACAATCTGGGAACCGGATGGGGACTAGAGTAGCCGGAATATGAACTGGTGTTCCCATTCTGGATTCTGGATTCTGGTGTGTGCAAGGTAGGATTTAGTTACTAAGTTATCTCCCTAGGCCCAGGAAAAATATTTTTATGTCCCCAATATAGAAGAAAATGATATGAGTACCAGAAATGTTCAATTATTTTTCTTAGGCTTAAGAAAAAGAATAATTTTCTTATTTTCTACACAATCATAGAAACAAAACATATCTTAGAGCAGGTGCAAGTAATTTCGCAACAGCAAATAACTATTAAAATGTCAGAGGTAAATAAGTGAAGAATTGATAAAGCAGTTGGTGTGGAGATCTCCCTGACCCACAGGAAAAGACTCTCACACCGTACTGTCCTTTTCCATGGTACTTTGTTCTTCCCCTAATCTGCACAAGCTTCACAATATATATACACTTCGCGACCCAATCGGCGTAAAGGTCAATCCAGCACGCGCAGAACGCACCAGTCATAATACAGATCACATGCCACGCATGCGGTGAGCATGCACTAGGGACCAATCAGGATTAAGTTCCTGGTTCTGCTAGGCTCCTCCTTATGACCCTGGCACACAGCCAAGGTGCCATCTTTAGGACTGGACAGCCTAAGCTCCCAACAAGTTGGTATATAAAGCATGATTTTACATACACAGGTAACTATAATTTGGCAATTGAAAAATGCATATGTGTAAAAAATTGGTTTAAGACCTACTCATGACTTTAAAAATAATATTTTTGTGTACATCGCAAACTACTTTTAGCAAAGAAACAGTTAAAAGTAATATTACTAGCATAAGAATATATACAAGAAAAAAAGCTGTTTGCTTCAAGCAGAAACTACAACCTTTCAAACTGCCCAACTGGCCCATTCTTTCTTACTCTCAGCAAAATTTGAGTTACTTAGGCAAAATTATAATTCTGTTAGCTTCTCTAGGGAATGTAGAATAGGAAAACATTCTCTTATTTCCAGAATAGTAAGAATAAAATCTGTTGCAAAAATGGATGATTCTCTGTCAACCTCACTGCTGACAATTTTCTTCCGGGAAAAGGAAAGTCAGATATACAGAGAGGAGGAGAGACAGAAAGGAAGATCTTCCATCCTCTGAGTCACTTCCCAAGTGGCTGCAATTGCTAAAGCTGAGCCAATCCGAAGCCAGGAGCCCAGAGCTTCTTCCAGGTCTCCCGGGAATGTCCCAAGGCTTTGGACCATCCTCAACTGCTTTCCCAGGCCACAAGCAGGATGCTGGATGGGACATGGAACCACCGGGATTAAAACCAGCACCCATATGGGATCCTGCAAAGTGAGGACTTTAGCCGCTAGGCTACCGTGCCAGGCTTAAGGCTCTCTTTTGACCATAGGTTTTTTTTTTTTAATACTCACATAATATTACTGTGACATGTGAGATAATTTATATGTATATGATAACCTTACCATTTATGTCAACATGTTGTAAGTATTAAATAAACATAAATTCCTTTGAACCTACTTCCTCAAACCCCTCCTGTTACCATACATTTTGCAGTCCTTTGAGTATCACAGTATCCATTCTATTCAGGTTCATTTGATTTTTGTACTTTTTGGCGGGGGGGAGGATTCACAATGGGTAAGAGAATAACAATACATGAGACATAAGAGGAAAAATATTAGCCAATTCCTGAATTCTTGGCTAGAGGCAAAGTCTATTCCTCACTTTCGTATAGAAAGAATTTCAATTAGGTTTCAATTATTCTTTTGCATGTTTAACATTCATTCTTTTGGCAGGAATTTCAAAGAGAGACTGAAGGAATCCCACTCAATGTCTGAAAATATTGCCACTTGATGACTTCGCGTTGTGTTTTCCGTATATATTCACTTGTTTCCCTGAAGCCTGGGCTCTCCCTCCGTGCGAGACTCTGCTGTGTGGAAGTGCTCCCTATGGAATGGGTCAATGAGTCTGAAGTGAGGGAATTCGTCTTCCTTGGATTCTCTTCTCTGGCTGGGCTGCAGCAGCTTCTCTTCATTATCTTCCTGCTCCTCTACCTGTTTACCCTGGGCACCAATGCCATCATCATTTCTACCATTGTGCTGGACAGAGCCCTTCACTCCCCCATGTATTTCTTCCTTGCCGTCCTCTCCTGCTCTGAGACTTGCTACACCTTCGTCATTGTACCCAAGATGCTGGTCGACCTGTTGACCACGAAGAAAACCATCTCCTTCCTGGGTTGTGCCATCCAGATGTTCACCTTCCTCTTCCTCGGCTGCTCTCACTCCTTCCTGCTGGCGGCCATGGGTTATGATCGTTATGTGGCCATTTGTAACCCACTGCGCTACACAGTACTCATGGGACCTGGGGTTTGTGTGGGCCTGGTGGCTGCAGCCTGTGCCTGTGGCTTCACTGTTGCACAGATCATCACTGCATTGATATTTCACTTGCCCTTCCACTCTTCCAACCGGCTCCACCACTTCTTCTGTGACATCTCTCCTGTCCTCAAGCTGGCATCTCATCACTCCCTCCTTAGTCAGCTGGTCATTTTCATGCTTGGTGTGTTTGTGTTAGTTATCCCCTTATTCCTAATCCTGGTCTCCTACATTCGCATCATCTCTGCTATTCTAAAGATCCCTTCTTCTGTTGGAAGATACAAAGCCTTCTCAACTTGTGCCTCTCATCTCATTGTGGTCATTGTTCACTATGGGTGTGCTTCTTTTATATACTTAAGACCCAAATCCAATTACTCTTCAAGCCAAGATACCCTGATATCTGTATCTTACACAATTCTCACCCCATTATTCAATCCAATGATTTATACTCTGAGAAACACAGAATTCAAATCGGCGCTTAGAAAAGCAATGAGCCAAACTTCATTTCCTGTTCATTAGAAACCCAATTTTAATTGTTATATGCCAGGCAAAATAAGTATGTTTTTACATATTTCCTTATGCAATTGTTCAACTGCACTGTAGCATAAGAAATTTTCTCACATGAATAGATATGAGAAACCCGAACATTTTTTTTCCCTGTCTGGTAATCTAGCCAAGCTATAACATTCAGAAGAGATGACTCCGTTTCTGAATAAGTAAGTTTGTTACACTGCTCTAAATATTGGCGGTTGAAAGACTCAAATGAGAGCAAAATATTCAGCGTGGCACAGGAAAACGAGAAATGTGAAGAACTTTAGTTTTCTATTTCCATGGAAAAGAATCTGAATATTTACCCTTCCTTGTAGTTCCTTTCCTGAAGACAACAGGCAACTATCATTGGACTCAATCTGTGATACATGTTAATGAACATTTTTGGTTACTGATTAAGCTTTTAAACTTAGATGTTGAAATATCCTTGCCTTTAGATGGGTTGCTTTGCTCTCTTTTTTATTTGAAATTAGAACCTTTCTGTAGAGACTCCTTTCTATATTTCTATCTGACATCCTGTGCATGTGTTTATATAAATCAATTTCTTATACTTTTCTCAGCACCTACATTGTTTCCATTGATATCATATTGATAATTTCAAGACAGTTATTAGCATTACATAGTCTCAAAATATATCAAGAAAATTAAAAAAAAATGGCAAGTTATTATTGCACAGACAGGGAGACACAGATATACAAAGAGAGACAAAAAAAGTGATCAAAAACTGGTCCAAAGGTCTATGTGAGAGCATTCCAGCACCATCCAAAATGAAGCCGAAATGAAGCATGGATTTATCATCTAAAGTCTTCATCTTCATCAGCGTCCCAAGGCTTTAAGCCATCCTTCTCGGCTTTCCCAGACCACAAGCAGGCACCTGGCTGGGAAGTGGAACAACCAAGACAGAAATTGCTACCCATATGGAATGCCAGCACGTGCAAGCACAAGATAATCCTATTGAGCCATTGCGCTAACCTTCATGATTTCTCTTTTGATTAACTGCTTATTTAGATGTAAGTTGATTAGTTCTTATCTATTTGTGTAGTTTTCAAAGTTTTTATTTTAATGAATTTTTAGTTCTTATGTATTGTAGACAGGGTAATTTTTATGACTTATTTTAAATATGTTTCAATCTGTGATATGAATTGCCATGATCTACTTTGAAAATGTCTCTTTGTGTTCTTGAGAATGTTTATTGGGCGAGTGTTAGAAATTTCTCCAAATATTTTGCTGATCTATAATTGTAATTTTTCTGTCTTTATCCAATTATTATTTGATTGTATATAGTGGGTGTTGTGAGTAATCTTTGCAATCAACATACAAATGTAAATTATCTTCAGCATGTCAGTCCACTTATTATATAACGTCATTTGTATCTAAACCTAGAAATAAATAGTAGTTTTACTTTATTGTTTTGAGAAATGTCTACAGTGTTCTTCATGATGTGTATATTATAGATTTTCACCAGCAGTATAGACTGCTGTACTATTCCCTACACATTTGTTAGCAGTTATCATCTTCAATTTTTGATAAAAATAGACATGTGATATATTTCATTGTAACTACAATTTGAATTTATTGATTAATATCATTAACTTTTTCTGATATAGACTTATTACTCTTCTATATGCCTTCATTTGAGATATACCATTCAGGTCATTTGTGTATCATTTTTCATTGAACTGTTTCATTAGTGTGAAGTGGTTGGAATTATTTTTTCTTCTGAATGTTAACTGTTTTTCAGGTGAATGGATTTCAAATGTTTTCTCTGATTTTTCAGTATATCTCTTGATATTTAATACTTCATTTTTTCATTTTTGCTTCCCATAATTGCTTTTTAAATTTATTATCATCATATTTCTAAAATGAAAATGCCATCAGATTCACCAGAGTGCCAAAGAATAAATTTTTCAGTAACCACAAACATATATGAGGGTAAATTTAAAGGTTTCATTTAAAATTGTTATCGAACTAATTGCTGTTCTAAATGATAAAAATAATTCATGCTGCAATTCTGCATGTATTTTATAAGGTTTATTCTGGGGTTTTTAAAACATATTAATATTTTAAAAATATATTTAAATGTTTATTTATATTTTATATGTTTGAAAAGAGAAAGACACTGATATGAAGAGACATATCTTCCATACACTTAGTTAACTCCCCAGTAGTTGCAACAGGCTATTTGGAGCAGCAACAGCAGGGACCCAAAATTCCATCCAGGTCTTCCTTGTGGGTGGCAAAAACCCCATCTACCTGAACCATTACATTGTATTTCTCAAGGTGCATATTTGCAGTAAACTGTTCCAAAGTCAAGTAGCTAGGACCCAAACCAGGCATTCTGATATGAGACGGAGGCATCTCAAGTGAACCTAAGTGCCATGAAAAATGACCAGTTTCGCTCTTTCTTACAATTCACCTGCACACTACTCCTATTTCAACGTTTCAATTTCTATATCTACAATGTCATGAAATGCCATTGCAGAAGGACTATACTATTGTAATGATATAGGGAAATATAGTGGGGAGAGGGGATAAGTGGAAGGAAGGATAACAGAGGAAGGAGGAGGGGAAGACCCCTGAACCTATGAATCTCTATCATGAAAAAAGTTTTGTTTTTTTTCATTCCACTGCAAACTGTAAGATGTTGACCTCTGTGCTCTGATTCATATTCGTTTTCCATCTTCTTTCAAAGTGGAACATGCATGTCCCATAACTTTAATCATGGCATTCTGATGTCAGGTTCTCTGTTTAGAGTAAAGTTCACACAGAATTATCAATTACTTATGCTCAGCTGGACTGAATGTAGCATGTTTCGTAACAGAAACTAGAAACAAAATATGCAGTTCAGGATAGCTATAGATATATATTTTCACCCGTGTAAGAGGAGACTTGTATACATTGCTGCATCTCCTCGTTGCTCTTTGTGTCTATGACCACTGTCTTGATGTTTTCCTCCAAAGGTTTTCCTCCTCTTTAAGGAGAAGATAACTGCATGACAGACTTTGTCTTCAAGGAAAGGGGGAAAAATGACTCTGCTGGGGAGAGCCCAGTGGAGAGGCTTGCCAGGTTTGTTCTGCTGACAATGTTGTGCAGCTTTGCGTTTTCTCAGGGTTACCTCACCAAGTCACCTAAAAGGGGAAAGGATCTATTCCCCTAGTACCTTACAAAAATGTATCTATTTGGCCAGGGGACTTTAGATCTATTTTCTCCTTGGATCACAGTTGCCTAATTGAGAAAAAGTAGTCTGGCTAGGGAGACAATGTGATAACGGTCTCCTGGGGTTCTGGGATGTTAAAATCACCAAGCAGGGCATTGATACTGACAGTCAGAGATCCCACCTATGTGGTTGTAGATGGGCTGGGCTATGCAGATGGAATGCAACGATTACTGTTCTTAGAATGCAGTGGTAAGTCTTGTGTTGTTGATTTGGAAAATGTAAGAGGATTCGAGGAAAATATCATGTATTTGAAATCTGCTAGCCTTGACAAGTGACTTAGATTTTCCTTAAAGGTCTTAGACCATGTATATGAGAAAGAGCTGTTGCAGTTCACTGATCTGCAGGATTCATGATTTGGAAAATGTGAACGTTTTTCATGTTGGTTTTTGTACTATCTCATTGATGACTAAAAGAAATTCAGTTATCCACAATCTTAGGCAACATCTATGCTCTTTCATAGTAAACAACTATCTTCAGTTCATTCAAAATTTGTTGGGATCTTCTTGGAACTGCGGTATATAAATACATGATAGTGAAAAATTAAATGGTGAGTTAAAAGAAAGCTCAGGTTGAAGTATTAAAATTAAGGAAATAAAAGTACATTTGAGACACCATAGAATGGTTATGGAAATAGCTCTATGAGTCTTAAGAAGGAATGTGAGCAGGAAAAGAAGACCAGAAAGAAGACCAATTCTTAATTGAATGAACAAAAATAAAAACCGAAGAATAGGGAGAAAAGCAAAGATGGAATTGAAAGAAGACAGGGAAACATCTTTGGGATTTATTATGGTGCAGTTCTCAGATATGCTTTTCACTTATGCTATCCATTAATCCTTAAGATTTCCCAGATTTTGAAATTAAATCAGATTCAGGAAGGTTAAATTATTTTTTCAATGGAAATTCTGAACTAGAGTGCAAAATCACTGATTTTTTTGCCCCACACATACGGTTTTTTTAACAAAAATTTTTACATTGTGCCTTCGTTCTTTAGAAGTATCTTTATGCATTAGAATAACCGGAAATTAGTTGCAAGGTTTAATTTACCCATATCTTAACCTGCTGAATTATAGAACTTTTAAACCCTATATGCTTAGGATGTAGGATTTAAATTATGGAAAATTGTATGTTTCAAAAAATGTCTGTATCAAAATAAACTTTTAACTCTCTTTCCCCTGAGTTTTTGAAGGACTCTGTATCTGGTGCATGAACTTCTGTTAAATGAAAAAAAAAAAAATGGTGCTTGCTTTGTAAATGCTCAGATTGTATTGAGGAAGATAATAAAGATCATTATTTTTACAATTATTTTAAATATGAAAAGTTCTAGAATGAGTGTTTAATGAGAGCATTAACAAGAGCATTTGTTTTCTTTCTTCACTTACTTGTCTCAAACATCTAACGAGTGGTTGGGATTTAGTATGAACCTTATGAATATTCTGTAAATTGACAGAGTATTTGGGAACGTGAATTGGGACCACAATTTTTTGAAAGTTTGGAAAATCTGTCCCAATGCAAGTAAAGACATTGAAATTACATGGCATGACTCACTGCGTGTTCAAGGAACTACGTGGGGTTCTATATGCCAAAGCACTGAGCTAAACATGAGATCTGAAGAGATAAGTTTGGGAGTGTTTTAAGCAAGCAATCGTTGACACCCTTTGCTTTATTTTCCGTTAGGAAATATGGATTTTCATTAGTTTGTACAGATTGTGCATAGGGTTTTACATAAGAAGATATTTGATTAAATGCAAGTATC